GTAAATAGTGGCCAGAATAATCTTATGGGGTACACTGAAAAATAGAGTTTATGGTCAGAGGGAATATCAAAATATTGAGGACCTTCAACATAGCATTGTTAGAGAGTTCGGAAGATTGAGGAGGAAAAGTATTCGTACAGTGAATAATATTCGAAGAAGAGCACAGTTGTGTTATCATGAACAAAGCCAGCATTTGGCTTTTCAAACGATCCAAACTCGCTGAGATTTTGATCCAATAACTTAAACATAGTTCTATACGGTTGTCATCTTTCGGGGTACGAGTTTAAATACATTTCCGATGTCCTTACACTGTTTCTATCGTATTTGTAATGAATTTGTATCATATCTCTTTTTCTTCATTCGTGAAAGCCAATTGTCGCCAAAAAATTCAATGAATTGTATAATTACAAAATGTCATTGAGTATAACAAATTGAAAGTCAAATTTACAAACATCAAAGTCAAAGCCTATTATGATAAGAATTATTTTTTTAATATCTCCAATTTTTCGAAAAAGAATGATACATCATTGAATCTGATTCTATTCAAAACAGAAAGAGTCCAATGTAGCGCCCATGAGAAAAACTAAAGTTGATGATGGTGGCCGGAAGACAAAACGTCGGATAGCAAATCTGAAAACACCATTATGTTGCAGAGAGATAGTGGCAATGTAGAAGTGCAATACATTTTCGAATCCTTCGAAAAATAAAGCCAGAAAAATATAAAAACCATTTTCCGAAATTTCTGTTTTTTCTCCGGATGTACTCGAAATTTCAGAACTTTCTCAATGCATATTGTTAGTCAGGTAAATGCGCAACTTTGCCTCAATATAACCATCTTCGTATCTCTCATAGTTTCCGAAATCCCAATGGTGAGGATCGAATTTGAAACACCCTGTGTATATCTATCGTGCAGGTATAGACTCTCCCAACTAAATTCCATTTGGATTACGATAAGCCCTTTGCCGTCTAGTGTCCAACCTATAATTAGTTTTAATTAGGGTAGCAAATGGACCATGACTTCCTTGTATTATATGTAGTAGTACAGTTTATTAAAATGTTATATAATGATACACTCTTGATGACTGGTTTATTGTTAGGCGATGACATTTTTTCAGAAACCACACAAGTTATTCAGACAATGCCAAACGCAAACAGCATTGGAGGACAAGTAATGATACGTCTCTGTACAGAAAATTTGTATGTCTTACAAGATCTGTAGTGGGCGTTATATTGAAAATGAGTTTGTGCACATGGGGGCGGGCTTGCCATCACGTTTGGCGCTTGCTGTAACTAACATTTGGCGGATACCTCAGATCATATGCACAACGCCAGACGAAATCCATCTTGATTTGTGTCAGGTTGAAAATCTCTTCCCGTACCCTTTAAACTGTCTTTCGCCATGGGGGCGAGTGGTTCAAATCTCAAGGTGTTGCTTTGCTAGCGACATAGAGGTCAGTGACATCTATGCCGCTCTGGCCTTGTGTACCCCTTCCTGACTGGGGTATTGATGAACAAACTGTTCATTTTAACAGACGTCGTGGGGCCTTCACTCAACTGAGCGACGGGGCCTTCTGAATCGAGTGGGGTCGTCTATAGTGTAATCTACAGCTTCCCTAACTAATGGGTTATCATGAGTTTCCGCTGACTCGAAAACTCTCTGATTCCTCAACTGAATGGACTGCTGTATGGTTAACAGCTTCAAATCTCTGCGGATGGCTTCATTCCGCACGAACCATGGAGCATTCACCAGCATCCTAATGATTTTGTTTTGCAATCTCTCCAGAATGGAGAGATTTGTCGGAGCGGTTTGTCCCCANGATCTGAGTCTAATTCCGACAAAGTGTACACTTCGCAGGACATGGAGACGTTCCTGAGTAGTGCGATATCAAGTACGTCAGGTCTGTAATCCCCACGGTAGAACGTAGGCTCATCTGGACCCATCACTCGATACTCATGCCTGTCAGCATGCGCATGGAGCGCTCGGCCGTTCGTGTTGGTGACTCTGCTCCACAGATTGTGCTTGGCGTTGAAGTCACCAGCAGCAATTGTGGGGGTATCTGTCGACAACAGCAGTTCATCCAGTGATTCTGGGAGTAAACGATTCCTCGGGGGGTTGTAAACTGAGATTAGTCTATGACGACCTCTTCTCAGTTGGAGTTCAACGCCCACGGCTTCTGTGCCGTGTAACAGATCCGAGTTAATGCCGAATTGTACGTGAGGAAGATTGCGTTTGACAAAAATGCCAACTCCTCCTCCAGCACGTCCAACTCGTTCTCTATGGTAGAAACGGTAGTTTGGGATACCAAAAGGCTCGTTGTTTCTTGTGTGATTTTAATATTAACTCCAGAGAACCAACGCTTACATAGTAAATGCATTCCCAATTTTTCAACTGGAACGAAACATCACCTCTTAGAGAAATGCTAAAAAAATAAACTTTGAGTGAAATGCAAATCATGATTTGGCATTACATGAAATGGAAAATAAATTGATAGCTATTTAGTATTACAACTAACTCTTTGATGTCAACAAAACTCATACAATTCTAGTAAATAGTTCAAATTCAGACCTAGAGGCAATTTCAACACAAGGGTACCTGTTGCTAATACTTTGAGAGCATGAACAGAAATTGAAAAAGGAATGCTGTTTAAATTTCGAAAAATTCCATGATCATATTTTCGAAAAATCAGTTATAGCAGAAACTGATCATCAATGACGGAAGTAAATCAATAAATGTCCAGCACGTGTATACAAACAACATGCGTTTCTTTCTTTCCCAAAATTTAATCTTTCCTAAAAATATATTCTTTTCAATTCAATACAAAGGATGTTTTAACAAGTTCAAAAGTAAGATTTATCTAAGTATACATATACCAGAAAAACTGAAAGTATCTTACGAATGAGATAAATGCTCTAGTTGTCTTATCAGTTCTAAAATCAAGATAGTGTCAATAAAACTTCAGACAAAGGACCAATGATAATACTCGAATAATAGTAAAAAATTATATGACAGAGTTAAAATTTCAAATATCACGATGAACTCACTGTAGGAAATGATATAATTTTCAAAAAAGGCAAAATACACTGATTTTTCATAGTTAGATAAAATAAATGATACAGAAAGTTTACTATATCCATATTGGTAGATATAAATAGATTTATAAAATTGATTGAAGATTTTGTTGTAACTTTATCTGGCTCAAAATGATCAACTATAATTTCAAAATGCTCAGGTCCTACCTTGCTAAAAAGCAAATTACGTATCACTTCAGTAGGCTCATCGTTTGTGTCCAGACCATGAAGTTGTAATTCCATTTTGAAACGTTTTATATGTAATACTTCCAGCACTCTTTTTCCGAAGAAAATCTTTCAAACTGGAATATCTCAAGTATTCTGTATCAGTTGACATTTTTCCCTTGACACAGTTCAAATTATCTGGTTGGTTCAGCTTGTTGGNAATAAACCTGAAATGAAATAATAGTGAAATAAAATACAAGTAAAAATAGAACAATCGAATTTTTGTTATTTCGGCTTGCGGAAATCGTCAGATTATATATTTTTCGTTATCGTTGAATTATTTCCTTCAAAATAATAAAAAAAATTGTTACGCTCGAGAATGTCGACATGGCGTTATTTTTTTACAACCTTGCTGCCCTTCCCTTTCTTTACGTCACTCTCAAATTGTCAGATTACTGTAATATACCCTTTTTAGCAGGTAATTAACTCACCCTACCTAGATCTGACGCACTCAAGAATTTCTGATGATCAATTTTTTTTTACTAATCTGAACCTTTATCCCTCACAGGCAGCCTTATATATGGGGCTCATGTTTGGTGGAGGTACTCAACCGGGTACAAGGTATCCCCCTGTATATTAATCTACCGCGCTTCAGTAAATCCCGAAATCCCTGCTTGGGCTCCCCTATTATTATATTTTCGAGAAAACATTGAGCAAATGATTGTTTTTTGTCTTGGGTGTCATCGGCATCGACTACGTTGGTCATTAGCCTCGTGTCCTGGGTAGGTAATGTTAATAACTCCCCGAGCCACCTAGGGAGCATCATGACTATTCGCAGTTCGTCAGTCATGTAACGTTGCAGAATCATTCTAGCTTCAACTAAATAAATTCTCTCGAGAAAAATATCTGGTCGAGGTTGGGATGGAACTTATGATATATTATTACCGTCTTGTTAAATTCAGAGTATTATATGATAACTCTTTTTTTATTATTCAATGACATTTCTTCTTTTCATATTTCACCATTAAAATGAGATGAGTTGTATTCATTTTCGAATGATCCCAGTTTTTTGGTAAAATGTAACTCGAGTGGTTGCTTTTGTGAATTTTGTAGTGAATGTAACAATTTTGATTCATTCTATGTAAGAGCTCAGTTTGAAGTACGTTAAAAAGTTACAGCTCATTCATTCACATTTAGTGAGTTAGACTCATTATCTAGCGGAAATAATATTAAAATACACTGACGATTCCAGCGATGCCGCCCCCTCTTCTCAAAGCGTCTCCTCCAGATGGGAGAAATCGTGGTCATGGTACTTGTCAAGCACAAGAAACTACATCGTGGCCCAAATTGATGCCAGAGGATCTGGATTTCAAGGAGTCAAAATGAGAAGAGAAATACAACGTAGGATAGGGTCGATCGAGGTACAGGACCAGTTGGCAGTATTGACGTATTTGAAAGATACATTCAAGTATATTGACAAATCTAAAATCTGTACAGCAGGAAAAGGTTATGGAGGTTATGTTTCGGCGATGATGCTTCTTCAAGATTTCCATCAAGTCATCAACTGCTCAGTGAGCATATCGCCTATAACGAACTGGAGATATTTCAGTGAGTAACTCTTGTATCCTACATATTGTGTTAAACTAAATTTCACAAGTGAAGTTGATATTACAGAATTCATTTCTTTCATCAGCATAAAATGATTTGAACTTTTCATCTTTCTAAGAAATTTAAAGTTAAAGAATAAGTTATCATGAAATGGCTGATTTAGAAGTAAGAACTGTTGAAGAAAATACTATATTCTGTTTTCTGTATTTTATTTGAAAATATGTTAGCGGATGTTTTTTGAATGAGTAATCATTTGTGATTTTTTTCACTTTTGTGGTAGTGAGCAGTAACTTATGAATTAGGTTTCACTTTATTAATTTCCAGTTCATCGACTTTATTCTTTATCGAGCATCAGTGAAAAGACTAAAGAAGAGCAAGTCAATAGAAATTATTTAGTTTATTTCACTTCCCAATGAAATCAAAGAACTGTTGTTTCATAGATGTGATAAATTCTATTTAAGTAAATTCTCTTCACTTATATTATGTTCTATTCTATTCTATTCTATTCTATTCTATTCTATTCTATTCTATTCTATTCTATGTTATCCTATTATCCTATACTATCCTATCCTGTTCTATTCTATCCCACCCCATCCCATACCATCCAATCCCATGTTATGTGTATCTCAAACTACTCCGGGTGCAGGAATGACAGTTCAAAAGTATTGTTCTCTCTCATATACAACTCATAAGGATCACCGACGTACAATCCTCACTGCTTTGTAAATAAAGGCATCATTTAGTTGCAGAGGCATATTCTGTTGCATGAAAAGAGAAAAATTCTTAAGTGAATACCAAAATCCTCCGACGAAGAAATCATCCTAACGACCAGCATTCAGTAATTCATAAAAAAGGCGAATTATTTAGATTACTGAAATCTTGCATGAAATATTTACTGGGGAAATTGGTCTTTGCAATTTGTTACGAAAAGAATTACTTCTGGCCTTGAAATAACATTTATTATCACTTCCTTTCAATGTTTGTAAAGACTTCAGATTATAGGTGGAACTTGTGTTCAAGGAAACATTATGATTGTATACTCGTTAATATTCAGTTCAAACGAAAAATCTTTAAAAAAATTGCATAATATGTGGCTGTTCATTCATGCCTGATGAGAGCACTTTGACGGTCATTGGTTTTCTCAGTTATTTCGTTCTGGTTTCTTATATCATGTTGAATTTACTTTATTCCAGATTCCTACTTTGCTGAAAAATATCTGGGCTTCCCTTCAAAACACCTCCAAGAATATGAAAATGCTGATTTAACATCAAAAGCAGTTAATTTAAATAATCGACATTTTTTGTTGATTCACGGAACGGCTGACACGGAAGTAATACAACAACATACTTCACTGTTGACAAAGGCATTGATAGATCAAGATATTCTCTTCCAACAACTGGTAAGAACTTTTTTTGAACAGCACTTTTCCAGATATTCAGAAATTTATTTTAGTACGCAAAAACATAGATTGTGTTTCTCACGCCAGATTCACAATTAATTCTTACAAACTCAACGGGTTAATGAAATTTCTAAACTGGAGAAAAGAAGAAAGCAAATATTCATTTTATGTGTTCATCAATCACTTTCTATGACCACATCGTTAAGCTCTAAGTGATGCTGACGGAAAATGTAATTCTTTTTAACTTCTATACGCTTTTGAATCTGTTTCTTGATTTGACCCTAGAATTCGGTTTTTCTGATCTCACAATGTAAAAATATAGAAAAAAATTAAATTATGTATGTTCTATTTGCTTCTGGAGTTTACCCATGATTTGGATGTTAAATGATTTTTAACATGACCAGTTAGAGCAAAACTAACCCCCGATGTGCATTCGGTGACATCAAAAATGTATAGTGAGTATTCTCTCCCCTGATTCTGGATTTTTTTTAAAAATTTACCTTCCAATACCCATGATTTTGATGCACTGGAGTCAAACTGATCCAGATTCATACTCGACGAACTCAAAAATTTAAAGTAGGTTTACTCTCGCTTGCATCTGGAATTTCCCTTGATTCAACCTACAAATGCCTTACACTTTGTTCTAATAGAGTCACACGGACCCCAGATTTGAATTTAGTAACCTCAAAAACATGTTATATACTGTATTTTGAAAAATTACTTTACGTACGCCAGTGGTTTGTGTAACATTATCACCTACCATCAGGTCGGGTACGAGCGTGTAATATTTCTTCTTGAGCAATATTATATAGTTCGATTCAGTCAGTCCAGTTCAATCTAACGAGTAGGCAGATTGAGACCTCAGAGAGGACGAGACCTTGGGAGTAGGCAGACTGAGACCCAGGCGTCAAGTCACATTAATTTCTTAAAAATGGTTCGAATACAAAACTCCAGACGCGGATCAATCCGAACTCAACGACAACACACTACTGACCGCGGCATTTCGAAAATTTATATTTCGTATAACACACATACAACAGGCACGAAAAGAGAATAAAGGTGTGTTTCCGTATTTATTACCTATTATTTTAATATCATGAAACTGAACTAGTTCTACGATGGAATGTCAGATTAAGCCATACATGTCTCAGTACAAGCCAAATTGAGGTAAATCACATCCAAAGAAGGCAGCGCGGGGAGGTAGTGACGAAAAATAACGATACGAATCTCATCCAAGACCCCAGGTTTGTTCTGGTTTTACGAAATTCAGGTTCTTGGACATCAGGATCATGCGCAGTTGATATAGAACGTTCTGGTTTATTGAGGATAATTTCGGACTGATGAATCCTCTGTTCTGGTTTCGACTGCGAAATGATCCTAAACTGTTTTGAACCGTCCCGAATCGTTCTTGCTCTCGAGGCTGAACTGTTGAGAACTGTTCCCGTTGCTCATGCGCATTCGTGTGGAAATTTGTTTGGGCTATTTGCAAGGATGTTTTTTTATTTATTTGATTTGAATAATTGATGAGTGAGGGTAGAAACATTTGAACTGACTATAGGGATACGTTACATAACAAAATGGACATGATTAATATTTTTTCGTCTTCATCTCTTCATATATACGATAGGTGGCACAGTGGTCTCCTCAAAAGCGTTCTGGTTTAAACAAGTGTCCGAGACTATTTCGGACTGTTTGAGATTTTTTGCTTGTACGCATCATGTCTTCCAAACAGTTTCGAATGTTAGAACCAGAACAAACCTAATAGGAATGAGTACACTCCTCCCTTCAACGAAAATTAATTGAAGGCAAGCCTGGTGCCAGTAGTCGTGGTAATTCCAGATCCAATAGCGTATATTAATGTTGTTGCATTTTAAACGCTCGTAGTCCAATCTGTGTCCCGCGCTTTCAGTTAACTGGGTGCCACAGGACGTTCTACCGGTGGGCTTAGCTCGCAAGGGCGGCCCAACTCAATACCGCCGCGTTGTGCTCTACATTGAGTGTCGAGGTGGGCTAGCACGTTTACTTTGAACAAATTAGAGTACTTGGAACAGGCTTAAACTTCGCCTGAATAATGTGTGCATAGAGTAATAAAATATGACCTCGGTTCTATTTTGTTGGTTTTTCGGAATCTGTTTAAATCTGTTTAAAATCTGTTTTTCCGTTAATCAGCTGCCGCCCCCATACGAACGACAACTCTCAGAAGTTGAGAAACTTTTGCGAGCTAAGGACTAACGAGGTCTTACTTTTTAACGTGTGATTCCTAGCACGGGATAATGATAATTAGGAACGCATGGGGCATTTCATCGTTTGGAAACGAAAGTTAGAGGTTGGAAGGCGATCATATTTCGCCCTAGTTCTAACCATAAACGATGCCAGCTAGCGATCCGCCAACAGGATGAAGCACCAGC